GAATTTGCAGCCGTTTGGTTTTCTTGCAACAACAACATCAAAAAAAAAAAGTCCCAAATCTTATCTAGGATGTAAATCCCCATGGCTGTGCTTTTTTTTTTTTTTACAAATGTAGGTAGGTACATTGGGTTGATTTTGCCTGTTGCAGCAACGATAAACAAACTTTGAGATTCCTGCAGAACTCTGCCAGCCCTTAAAGAAGAGGGCAAAACTCGGAGCCCAACTGAAGAGACAGGAAGTTGTGGGCTTCAGCAGGACTGAATGAAGTTTGATGAAAAGAAGGACTAGGGGTGATGTGATAGATGTCTTCCAGTATTTGCAGGGGCGTCACAAAGAAGAAGAGGGGGGTCAAGCTATTCTCCAAAGCCCCTGAAGGCAGGACAAGAAGCAACGGATGGAAACTCATCAAGGAGAGAAGCAATTTAGAACTTAAGGAGAAATTTCCTGACGGGGAGAGCAAGTAATCAGTGGAAAGGCTTTTTCCTCCTGAAGTTGTAGGCTTCATGGAATAACAGAGTTGCAAAGGACCTTGAAGGTCATCTAGTCCAACCCCTTGCTCAAGCAGGAGAGTCTATTTCAAACATTAGCCTCTATCTGGGATTGAACTCACAGCCTCCTGATTGTGAGGTGAGAAGTCCACCTCTAGGCCACCGGAGCTGCTAACATAAGTGCTCCATTTTTTTAAGAAGAAGACAAGTATTTGCCTTGCGTCCCCATGTTACGAGTAGCACTGGGAATTCAGGTCTCTTGAGTGCTATTCCTGACCCTAATTCTGGATCAGACCAACCGTGGGTCATGCTTAGAAGCCAGCCAGGAGAAGGAAGAAGAGGAGGTCAACAAATGAAAAATATCCATATCGGTATGGATGAGAGCCTTACAGAAGGCCTAATATTGAGCTAAGAGTTGGACATGGCTCATCCATGATTTACGGGGGTTAACGGGATAAACACCCTCACGGAGTGCAAATTCCACTTGCAAAATGAACTTGTGGGTAGCCATCACGGTTGACCAATTTAGAAAGGAGGAGAAAGCTGTCGATGGCCGCTGGGTAGGAAGGTCCTACGTTACTTTAGATCTTGGAAGCTGCAAGTTCCAGCAACTTCCATCCACAGACGAAGGGCTGGGTGTGCTTCTAATCTTTGCAGGCTTCTCATCCACCAGCTGTTGTGGAGAAAGCATTGCTCTAGAAAGTCGTTGGGTCTCATCCAACAGAGGCACATTTAATTTCCCAGCCCGACCTGGAGATACCAGGAATGACCACAGAGGAGATTGAATAGAGACTTCCTCATAGAACGGAGCCCAAAGAGACCTCAGGAAGCAGTTCTTGGCATGAGACTAAGATCTCTTAAGGAAACTCTAGTTTCCTCTTTGGAAGAATTAAATTATTTTAATAATAGAAACAGGGTCAGAACAGGCCACCGTGGTTCTAGATTGTTTGCTTGGTGGAAGAATCCAAATTGAAACATGGCCATCTTTGAACAGGTCCATTCAAGAGGAGACCACATCTCTGTAGGAACATGGATCCAGGCCCCATTTATGGTGCCAGAGGATGAGGTGGCGAGAAGAGACTGCCATTCCTCTGTAGAAAACATCAGAAGCATTTTCCGTAGAAGTTACTTCCTTTGGTGCCACCTATTGGCACAACGGCACCCATCACCAAGCCATTCAGTCACCTACACTTTACAGCTAAATAGCTTAGCTACACACGGTTCTCCAAAAAGCTTCGGTGAAATGATTGTTTATTTATTTTTTAGATTTATACAGCCATCCATTTCATTTACATAATTACAAGCGGTTGGCAGTTAAAGCGGGAGAGAAACAGCGTGAAAGCAAAACCAACATTTATAAACATACTTCCCATTAAAAAAGCAACGGAGAAACTCAAGTCTTCCACAATCGAGCCCATTGCTGAAGTCGTATTTCCTGCAATCAAGTTGGGTGCGGTTTACCTTGAGTTTGTACCTATTGTGTGCTCTTGTGTTGTTATGGTTGAAGCTGAAGTATTCATTGACAGGTAGGACATGGCAGTAGATAATTTTATATACTATACTTAGATCGGACCGAAGGCAGCGTAGTTCTAGGTTTTCTAGGTCTAGAATTTCAAGTCTGGTGGCATGAGGTCTTCTGCAAGGAGCTTCATTGCATTCAGCTGCTGGATTTAAAAGAGCTCATCGCTCGGTCATGGGCCGATCTCCAGCACGGTGAAATATCGTACAGGGAGTTCCTTCTCCAAGTGACATATTTCTGGTGCGTCTCCAACTCACTCTCCAACATGTGCCCCTTTCGTCTCCCTGCCAGGAGAAGTTGCAAATGTAGAGGCAGCCACGAGACAGCGAAGACAAAGTTATCCCGACTCGAATGCATGACATTCATGGGGGTCTAAATAGTCCGAGGGCCAAGCATTCTTCTGGAGCTTATGGATCTGGGATGTCCGTGGAAACCTGGCTCACAACAGCCAGTAGAAGAGGAAGCTGTTGCGGAGTTCCCGATTTGTGTCGGGGTCACCATCTTTGGAAGGAGCCCGAGAGCCATGGAAGAGTGGCAGAGCAACTGAAATGTGATCCCTAGCATCTCTAAGCAGGATAAGCCTCCGTGAAACCCGGAGGGAAAAAACTGCAATAGGCAACTTTTAAGGTCAGAGAGTATATACAGTATATAACACATTTGGTCTGCAGGGCGGGGTCAATCTCTAACCGGAATGGCTTCCAGGGGGCAAATTAGATAATACCATTGTCCTAGTGGTCTTGTTCAGAATCCGTCCAGAGCTGGAAGTCTTCTAATCCAACCCCCCCTGCTCAAACAGGCGATCCTATACTACGAGGGCTATCCACAAAATAGATTATGTTTTGCGATAGAAAAAAAACAAAGTGTAGGAAAAAATTTTTATTATATACACTTGAAAGTGACACTTAAATACTACTTTTCAACATATTCACCGAACCAATTGAGGCACTTATCATAGCGGTGAACAAGCTTTGTAATTCCATTGTCATAAAATTCATCCGCCTGAGATTTGAGCCAGTCAGTCACGCCCACCCGCAGTTTCCACGTCGTCGTCAAAACGCTGTGTTCCAAGCCAGGTCTTCATCCTCGGAAACAAGTGGTAGTCGCTTGGTGCAAGATCGGGGCTGTAGGGCGGACGAGGAAAAATCTCCCACTTGAAAGCATTCAGGACTTCTTGAGTGCCGTAGTTCGGCCATTTTTAAACTTAATGCACCATTGGCGCACTCCACCTTCAGTGATGATGTTGTCCCCGTACACTTCACACAGTTGCCGAAAAATTTCAATCGGTTTATGGTTTTTTGCCAACAAAAACCTGATCACTGGTCGCACCTCACTACTCGTGGGATTTTCAATTGCAGCACACATTTCAAATGTTTGCTGTGAAATAACGGGCAACGATATGAACCTCCCACTAGCACGACTAGATGCAGACTGAGCGGCGGATGCACAGGCCAAAGATGGCCGTGCTAGCTCCGCCCCTTCTTGCTGCAGACGAAAACGTAATCTATTTTGTGGATAGCCCTCGTATTTCAAATAAGTGGCCGCCCAGTCTTTGCTATCTGGTGATGAAGCACCTACAACTTCCGGGGTCAAGCCATTCCACTCACTATTAGGAAGTAATTTCTCCTTAATTCCAGGTTGCTTCTCTCCTTGATTAGTTTCCATCCGTTGCTTCTTATCTTGCCTTTTGATGCTTTGGAAAATAAGTTGATTCCCCCCTCTTCTTTGTGGCACCCCTCCAATACTGGAATACCGCTAACATATAACCCCCTGGTCTTTCTTTTTTCTAAGCTAGCCAAATCCAAATCCTGCAACCGTTTTTCTTATGGTTTAGTCTCCGGGCCTTTAATCATCTTAGTTGCTCTTTTCTGCACCTTTTCCAAAGTCTCAACATCCTTTTTTTGGTAATGGGGTGACCAAAACTGGATGCAAAATATTCCAGGCGTGGCCTTACTAAAAAGATTTATAAAGCGGTAGTAATACTTCACGTGATTTTGATTCTATGCCTTTGTTTATACAACCAAGGATTGCATTCTTCGTCATCAAAGAGCAAACAATATTCCCAACAACCAGAGAATGGGAGGCCAATCATTGTTTACGAAGCAGACAGATTAAGCCTGCAATTTCTGGCTCTTCCTTTGTCTCTTCACTATTTATTTTCCTTTCGTTATTGGTTCCAGCGGCTTATACTTCCCAGAGTGATCCAGGATCCCTGGAAAATGTCCCCGGCAGCTCATTTCACGGAACACCAGCGAAACATTCAGAGAAGTAAATAAAACTCAAAGGCAAATCATTAAAATATCAAATACGGGTAGTCCTCGAGTTACGACCCCAACGGAGCCCAAAATTTCTGTGGCTAAAAGCGAAGTGTTTGCTAAGTGTGCTTCACCCCATTTTACGCCCCCTTTCTTGCCGCAGTTGCTTAAGTGAATCAGTGCAGTTGTTAAGTTAGCAACGTGGTTCTTCAGTGAATCCGGTTTTCCTGTTGACTTTGCTCATCAGAAGGCGAATCACATAACGCCACCATCTCCACCCCGGACACTTGCAACTGTCATAAATAGGAATCTGCTGCCAAGCATCTGAAATTTGATCAGTAATCCTGGAGATGCTGCAATGGTTGCGTGTGTGAGTGTCCAAAAAAACATTTGTAAGTCACTTTTTTCAGCGCCGTTCTAACTTTGAACAAAGAACTAGTGTAAGTTGAGGACTCCCTGTATAAACCAATATTGTTGACTTGCTGGCCTTGTTTATGTAAGCCCACCACAGCTCTGAAAAACCTCTGTTTCTGCTGAGAATCAGCAATTCAGAAGGAAATGCTGCAACTTGAAAACTTCTTAGATTGTCTAAGGCCGAATGTACATTCCGGTGAGATATAAATATCAATTTGATTAGCTAGCAGGTCTTGTCAGATACAGTGTCTCATCTCCTCGGTCATTTGAGCGATGACGTGGTCTGAAGGTTTCTGTAAAAGGCTGTGGGGTCTTAACTCAAACCTATATAAGACAGGGGCTGAGCTTCGGCCAAGACTGCAAGGGAAGATAACTCCTTAGATCATTGTCTTGCCTCTTCTCCCTGCGTTGAAAAGCAGCTTCAAGGTGAGTTTGAGCCTAGCCAAGAACACTTACTATGACGATGATGATTTTTGTTGTTGTTCCAGTCCAGAGCAAGCCTTAGGATCTTAAGAAGCACAACTGCACGGGAGGAATTTGGCATCTCCAAGACAGGAAGCCGGCAGTTGTGTTTTGTTGTGGGTTTTCGGCCAGGCCAAAGTTGCTGAAATTGCGCAAACTGGGAATCTGATGTGGAAGCTACCTTTGACCATCTCAGTGGGACTGAAAGAGAGAGAGAAACAGAAATAAAGAGAGAACTAAAGAGAGAAAGAGAAAGAGAGAAAGAGAAATAAAGAGAGAGGAATAAAGAGAGAAAGAGAAATAAAGAGAGAGAGCAAGAAACAGAAAGAAATAGAGGTAAGTAAAGATAAAGAGAAATGAAAAGAAAGATAAAAGGAGAGAGAACGAGAAAGGAAAAGAGAAAGAACGAGGAAAGCAAAAAAGAAAAAGATTGAGAGAGAAAAAAAGAAAGAAAGACAGAAAGAAAGACAGAAAGAGCTAAAGTGAAATAGAGAGACAGAAATAGAATTAAAGAGAGAGAGAAAGGGAGAGAGAGAGGGGAATAGAGATGAAGAGATAAAGAGGCAGGGAGATTTCATGAAAGACATTCTGTTTGCTAGTTTTTGGCTGTTTTTAATATCTTAATCTACCCTCTAACTCCACTTCTAGAAATGCATTGGGAGGCTGCAAATTTGCTTCCTTGATTCTGCAAGTGTTCTTCCTTGCAAAGATTCCTGCGTTTTGCAGATCTCGTCCAAAAATGTTACTTGTGTGCAATGAAATTCAAACTCCTTCTCTCTCTCTCTCTCTCTCTCTCTCTCTCTTTTTTTTTTTTTTTAACCTCTTCCCAGCTCTGAGATGGCATTCTCTGGAATACTGAATGATGCTGACATTGCAGCTGCTTTGAAAAGCTGCCAAGGTAATTTCTATATACATATGCCTATATACAGATTATTTTTTTAAAAAATAAACTTGTGTATTGGAAAAAAAAACTTTTGGATTCAAATATTGGAGAGGAGAGGTCATAAACTTTCCAACTTTTGTCCTGACCCCCACCATCAGCACTCCAAAATTCCCAAATGTCTTGGGTGATTTTAGAAAAAAAAAAACAACCATCTGGTATTTTTGCTGTTAGGTCTCTGAATGTTTTACAGTTTTAATATTTTAGAGACAAAACAGTTCTTCCTAAATTTAACATCTTAAACCAGCACACCTGTTTTTAAGGTTAACAAATTCCCAAAGAAAGTGCAGATTACGCAACTAAAAATCAGTCATTGTAAAGCATTTTTGAGTTATTTTCTGACCTTGGACAGAGGTGATCGATTTTCCGCCCCTTAAATCTCTTGACTGTAATATTTAGGATGGTTACAATTTAGCATTTCCCCATCGTCTGCTGCTCTGTTCTGGACTATAGTAGCCATCATCCCCAGCCAGCAGGGCTGATGGGGCAGGGAGTACTGCAAGCCAAAACATCTGGAGCATTTCCTCAACTTTGGTGTGTGATCAGTGGATGTGCACAGTGGATGAAGGACTTTTCTAGGGATTTAGATACCTATCCGCCCACTTATGAACTCTGCCTAGTATTGAAATGTGACCCCAGACATTCCTTCCTGTCTCTAAATATGGCCCTGCAAAGCCCACGTATAATTCAGACAAGAAGAGAGATGATATTTTTCCTGTATGAAAAAATGGGACCGAACTACTTCTCTGGAGCAGTGGTCGCTAACCAGTGGGCTGGGGACCACTGGTGATCCACAAGAAAATTTTGGTGGTCCGCAGAGAAATGTCTCCCCCAAAGCAATTAATCCAGGCTGCTCAGGAACGCAAGGCTGCGCCGCCCACATGGCCCGTGGGAACACAAGGCTTGTGTCGCTTGCTTTGTGAACAGCGCGAAGTAGTGAGGGGAGGGGGGAAAGGGTAGAGGGGGGGAACTTGCCCCACTCGCCCCACACACCTCGACTGGTCACCGGTCTGTTTCTTTCCACTTCTTTCTTCTGCTTCTAGCTGTACGCAAGGAAAGCAGCCAAAGTCTTTCTTTCTCTCCCCCAAACTCCACCAGAAATGGATCTTTGGGACCCTGCAAGGCATCCGACTCCAAGAGGCTGCGCTGGTGTGACGAGTCTCACAAAGACTCATTTCTGGTAGAGTTTGGGGGAGAGAAAGAAAGACTTCTGCGGCTTCTGCTGCTTTCCTTGCATGAAGCCAAAAGTCTCTCTCTCTCTCTCTCCCCCTGAGAACAAAGCTGGAGACGGTACCCTTCGATCCCAAATAAAAAATGATCGATCGGTAGGAAAACGGGGTGGGGGATTTTCTTGCAGACTTTTGGGGGGGATTTTTCCCAGGGTCTCTAAAATTATGAGTTTGGTGATCCCTGAGGCCCAAAAGGTTGGCGACCCCTGCTCAGGAGGATCCATTAGAACGGATTGTAGCGATGAGGTTAGTAGATGTTGTAAGGACGCCATGTTGACCACAAAGCGAAGCAGGGTGATTGAAGCTTCTAGCTCAACAGCTTCTTAAGGAAACTGTGTTCTTTACATGCCGACCTAAAGCTTGAGAGCTCAAAGGCTGGAAGGCTCTTGGGTTTGACACATTCTTCTCCCAAGGGAGGAGGGATAGTACAGAGATGCTGTCTGGGCTGTGGGTGGCAGGGTTGTCCATGGTTCTCTTCTGGAGAGTGTGCTGCTCTGGGCTTTACGCTTCCTGCAGTAGCTTCAGGAGATCAAAGAATCTGAAGGAAGTCCTCCAGGGATGAGTGATAGGTATTTTGGAGCTGAGAAGGGTCTCGGAAAATTCATCGGCCCTCTCTGTATAAGCATCTCCTAAGTTAATGCCTTTCAGATATAGTGGATGTTAACTTCTATACTTCCCAGTTGCTGGGTGGATGGATGGAAGAAAAGAAGGAAAGAAGGAAGGAGAGAGGGAGGGAGGGAGAGAAGAAGGAAGGAGTGAGGCTAGCTGGCTGGAAGGAAGGAAGGAAAGAAGGAAGGAAGGAAGGAAGGAAGGAAGGAAGGAAGGAAGGAAGGAAGGAAGGAAGGAAGGAAGTAGAGAAGGAAGGAAGGAAAGAACAAGGAAGGGAGGGAAGGAGAGATGGAAGGGAGGGGAAAGAGGGAGGGAGGAAGAAAGAAAGAGTGAGTGAGTGAGTGAGGAAGGGAGGGAGAGAGGGAAGGAGAGAGGGAGGGAAGGGAGGGGAAAGAGGGAGGGAGGGCGGGAGGAGAGAAGGAAGGAAGGAAAGAGCAAGGGAGGGAGGGAAGGAGAGATGGAAGGGAGGGGAAAGAAGGAGGGAGGAAGAAAGGAAGAGGAAAGAGGGAGGCAGGAAGAAAGGAAGGAGTGAGTGAGTGAGGAAGAGAGGGAGGGAAGGAAAGAGGGAAGGAAGGGAGGGGAAAGAGGGAGGGAGGGAGGAAAGAAGGAAGGAAGGAAGGAAGGAAGGAAGGAAGGAAGGAAGGAAGGAAAGGAGGGAGGGAGGGAGGGAGGGAGGAAGAAAGAAAGGAAGGAGGCAAACTACAATGCCACCCTTGATCGGGAACACGATGGAAGATGTTTATGTCTCAATTCCCATTAGAAAAAGACAGAGCAGGCACAGACAAATTCTAACCCCCTACAAAATTCTGCAGGAAATATTATTGCCTACCTAACGTAATTCCTTAAACTCGTCACCTGGGTTTTGAAAAACGAGGAATGTTTTGTTCGAAATGGAACATTCTGGCTGCTTGAAAACCCACCGGCCCCTACCCACCAGCCCAGGATTGATGTCAGAACATAGCTACAGAGAATTTGAGTCAGAACTGGCCACGCAACCAAGAAGTTCAGGGCACATCTAGATTTAAAAATCAGTTCCTATTTACTTTGCTTTTTTGGGGTGGCTGATATTTAATCTGTCCCTAAACTTTTTTTTTAATTGGTGTCCAAGCGTAAAGTCAATTAAGGTCAGCACCTCAAATGTCTACTTCACCCCCAACTGACATGATTGGGACAGCAAAAAAGGTGATGCTGGATTTACGGGAAGTCCTCAAACTTAATCATTTTGGGGGCAATCGTTCCGAGTTACAATGGCAGTGGGGTAAATGATTTATGACCCGCCTTTACGCTGACCACGTCTTACATCTCCTGATATTTTGTCCTCTTTTTCTCTTCCTCTTTCGGTTTCCTTTTCCGCAGCTGCCGATTCCTTCAGCTGCAAGACATTCTTTGCCAAATCCGGTTTGCAGGGCAAATCCAAGGATCAGCTAACAAAAGTATTTGAAGTTATTGATCAAGACAAGAGTGGATACATTGAGGAAGGGGAGCTGAAGTGAGTCAAACTTAAACAACCTCCCTCCATCCCTGATTAGGGACCCAAGCGGCCATTTCCAAATACAAACACATCATCAATCCTTTGTACTGCCTTATCCTCTCTTAATGACCGGTCGCTGAGTGATGGGCATTATGAAAGACACACCAAAAGAGACTTACAACCCAGATTCAAAATTGTGACATCGCCGCCCTCGCCCCCATAGTTATATGATCACAAACTAGCCCATATTTATAGCTGATTGCAGCACCTTGCAGTTACACAGTTGTGATTTGCATTATTTATTTACCGGACACCAGCGTTTACATCTCTTTTCTAGCCAAAAAAAAAAAAAAAAAGATCTAATAATGACTCAGACTTCCATCCTTCCGAGGTCAGTAAAATGAGGACCCAGATTGTTGGGGACAAGAGGCTGACTCTGTAAACCGCTTAGAGAGAGCCGTCAAGCGCTGTGAAGCGGTATATAAGTCTAAGAGCTATTGCTGATTAGCTGTGGGGGCGCAGTGGTAAGAATGCAGTTCTGCAGGCTGACTCTGCCCCCTGCCAGGAGTTTGATCCTGACCGGTTCAAAGTTGACTCAGCCTTCGTTCCTTCCGAGCTCAGTAAAATGAGGACCCAGATTATGGGGGCAAGAGGCTGACTCTGAGAGGGCTGTAAAAGCACTGTGAAGCGGTATATAAGTCTGCTATTGCTTGCGAAGGACGGAAGGAAAGAAGGAAGGAAGGAAGGAAGGAAGGAAGCTGTGCGGGCACAGTGGTTAGAATGCAGCACTGCCGGCAAACTCTGCCACCTGCCAGGAGTTCGATCCTGACCAGTTCAAGGTTGACTCAGCCTTCCATCCTTCCGAGGTGGGTAAAATGAGGAGCCAGATTGTTGGGGAGCAAGAGGCTGACTTTTGTAAACCGCTTAAAGTGGGCTGTGTAAAGCACTGTGAAGGCGGTATATAAGTCTAAGTGCTATTGCAACTGTCATGGCACTCCAATCACCTTGTTAGTTACCTCTTGTTTATCTGTCCCTTAGAATGTTCATGCAGAATTTTGATGGGAAAGCCAGAGTGCTGACTGATAAGGAGACTTTGGAGTTTCTGAAAGCAGGTGACACCGATGGAGATGGCAAAATTGGCGTGGATGGTAAGGAAGACTTCACGGATCCCCCCTCTCCAATGTCCAGAACGATGGCCATGTTACTCAAATATCATTCCCTCAGACAGTAGACAGCGAACATCCGCAGGTTTAGAATTATTTAGCAGAGTTGAGTTAATTCTGTAGCTAACTGCTGAGAGCCTAAATAATTACACTGGCATATGAAATCAATTAATCAATCAACCGATCAATTGTCCAGAGGGAGGGCAAATATTTTTTATTTTATATATTTATTTACATTGATATGCTGCCCATCTCCCTTATAAGGCGACTGTCTGGGTGCAATCTTGCAGATTGTAAAAAGACCAAGAGATAAATAGTTAAAATATGAAAATTAGGCTATTTCAAATTTAAAAATTACAGAGGGGAAAAACAGGACTCAGAGACAGATGGTGAAGGGGAAGGGGTGGTTGCCACGAGAATGTAGTGAGGTAAGTGTTACGTCTGCCACCTTCATATGGCGACAATCCCTGGAATTAATTCCTAAGGTTAGATAATAAATCGATATACATTAATAAGTAAAACAAGTCAGCCACTTGAAATGGATAGAAACTGTTTTCTTTAGCATCTGCTATCCACGATAATCTAGAAACCTGTTATCTATGGACTTGAGTAGACAAGATTCAAAAAAATATAACCTTTCCTTTCCTTTTCCTCCCCTTTTCCTCCCCTTTCCCTTTTTTTCTTTTCTTTTCCAGAGTTTGTAGTCCTGGTTTCCAAGTGTTAAAGCGATTCAAGGGAAGACCAAGCCAATTGTATTGTACAACATCCTTTCTTATTGCAAGTCAACTATTTATTTATACATTTTATACAGTGAAACAGCATTGACAGTGGCCAGCAAGTTGTTTCTTACTATTTGGGAACTGTGTTAACTCCCAATGCACTGTTCGACCTTTATTATTGTCCATTGTTGTAAAATTCATAATTAAAAGGGCTTTCTACATCAAAAAGCAGGACAGAGTCGCGGCCCAAGGGAAAAGAAATTGGATATTTCGTTTTGTTGGTAGGGTCCATTTAAGACGACAACTCAGTTGAGGGGAGTTTTCTAAGAAATTTCATCAAGAGTTAACCAAGCGACCGCCTTCCTTCCCAACCTAGTATATGACATGATATTGGAAAAACAGTTAAATAAGAAGTTTTTGCCTTACCTAACCAGGTTCACAAAACCCTTTACTAGTCATACCCGTGGAATTGTCCATTCATCCATATAAAGTGACTTCATCATTCACAGATTTTGAGCCTGTTTCTTTGCCGGATGCAATTACCATGGTGACACCCCTCCTGTCCTTGCTTAGTTTCAATCCATCAGATTTAACAGATTAACAGAGTTGGAAGGGAACTTGTGGGTCATCTAGTCCACCCCCACCCTCCACCCAAGCAGGAGATCTAGCACCATTTCTGACAGACGGCGGTCCAGCCTCTTCTTGAAAGCCTCCAGTGATGAAGCTCCCATATCTTCTGAAGGCAACTTCAGTTCCATTAGCTGATTATTCTCCCTGTCAGAAAATTTCTCCTCATTTCCTGGTTGAATCTCTCCTGGATCACTTTCCATCCATTATTCCTTGTCTGGCCTTCGGGTGCTTTGGAGAATAGCTTGACCCCCTTCCTCCTCTCTGTGGCAGCCCCTCAAATATTGGACAGGCTGCTCTCATGTCTCCCCTGGTCCTTCTCTTCACAATACCTTCATCACTCTCAACCTTGCAATTTTTAAGATGCGCGGACTTCAACTCCCAGAATTTCCCAGGGCAGCATGCTGGCTTGGGAACCGTGGAAATTGGGAGTCCACGCAGAGTTGCCGAGATTGAAAAAGGCTGCTTCAAATGATGAATGAACACGCCATAATTTGAGAGAGAGAGAGAGAGAGAGAGAGAGAGTCTGGCTTCAAAATTCATTTAGAGTTTTAAATAGAGCATTGCTGGGTGGGTTGGAGGTCTGTGCTAGATCTTTAACTCTGGTCCATCATAAATCAGGAAAGAACCCGGAAGCTCAGAATATCTGTATTTAAAGCAGGGTCTAAATTAGGGGTCATATCAACGTGCATTGGACTGACTGATTGATAGCAAGAAATCGTACATGATTCAAAGTCTCACTTGAAGTCCTGATCCTCTGGAGATGTTCAAAATCCAGATAGGACCAATAAAAACAACAACAGTGCATTGTCCCAGTCATAGGCATGGTAATGACATAATGTTTTGGTTTTTTTAAAAAGCAAAATCAATGTGGAAGCTTTCCACATCTATTTTGCTTCTGTTCCGTTCTCCTTTAAAAAACAAAAAAGGAAAACCATATAACCTAGGATACAGCTCCTATAACAAAATGACTATTTGTTGTTGGTTCAATTTATTTGCCGGCTGTTCTAGGCAGCTTACAACAATAAAAAATGGAGGAATGAAAAGAAGCGTAAACATAAAGTGATGGAACAACAGAATAAACCAGAAAAAAAAGAAAGAAAACAATGATATGAGAATAGATATTGATGGCTTTTGGCACTTGATCCTTAACCATCGGATTTGATGGTTGGGTTTAAACACCAGTTCAGTGGCCCCTACTGGCTAGCAATGTTGGATAATCACCTTCATCCCACCTTCTAGTCCTCAGACTCGGGAAAAAGTCCCTCCTGACTGAGGGAGTCATCTCCAAAAGAAACTCCCATGGTGGCACAGTGGTTAGAAAGCAGTATTGCAAGCTGACTCTGCCCACTGCCACGAGTTCGATCCTGACCAGCTCAAGGTTGACTCAGCCTTCTATCCTTCCAAGGATGGTAAAATGAGAACCCAGATGGTTAGGGGCAAAATGCGGACTCTGTAAACTGCTTAGAGAGGGCTGTCAGGCACTATAAAGCGGTATATAAATCTAAGTGCTATTGCTACTGGCTGCCCTGTAGCTATCCAACAGCTTCAATTGCTAGAAATACTCAAGTGGTATCTTATGAAGCACTCTTATGAGGAATGCTAGAAAGTGAAGGTTTGCCTTGTAACACCCCAACTCCCCATTGCAAATGGCTTTATTAAAAGATTTAAAAAAAAATCTAAGCCACATGGGACACCATAAACACACTTTTGAGTTCTCTGTCCTCATATTTTGCAAATAAATTCTTTCAATCGTCAAGGCTGGGGCCTGTGGTTGACTCTTCAAGAAGGCATCTGTTCTTCTTTCAAAACTGTCCTCTCGTCTGTGTCTCTAATGCGGCCAAGAGTTAAAGACATATCCCATAACCGAGGACTATTTTTGCCTGTCCTGCTGTTCTAAGCACGTCTTCCTTTCAACCCTACTACAAACTTCATGCGTGGGGCAACGATTATTTTCAGCTGGTGGCCAACAGTGTATTGGAATGGATGTGTCAATTGTCCACCGCTGAATACTTGCTGTCAGCATTCCAACTAGCCAGCTCCAAATCAATAAACTCCCCAGATCAACATTTCCTCCAGGGTCCATTTTATTAGAGTTGTCCTAATGGCACATCTGGGAAAACTCAAATCTGAGAGTCGCGTGTTTTCCCTTCCCAAAAGAGAAATCAAAGATCCACCCCCTGCACCCATCAGTCCATCACATGGCCCAATCAAACCTTCGCCCCACTTGGAGACATCCCTTCAGTCACTCCCCTCCAGGTGCAGGGCAACTTGTCCTTGACTCTCTGAGAAAGGAATGTTGTTGTGTCTATTCTTCTATGAAATCCCCCCGCTCCCAAATTCCTAGGCACTGAATGTGGCAGCCTTGAAGCTCTCAAGAAAAAAAACAGCTTCCAATGCTGGCACTTGTGGCTTTTCCCAACCATTCTTAAGAGCTGTTTTCTAGATGGTTAACTCTCCCTTAATCTTTAGGGGCTATCTTATTGTTGAGCGAAAGGAAGAAAACCTAAATAATTCAACAATTTAAGGGATGGCTCTCCCGGATTACATCACCGACGGCCCCAGCCGGTGAGATACGGTTACGGAGTCGCCAGGGTGATTCTAGATGATCTGTTTTGACAATCCTCAGGTGGAGAATATCAAACGGCAGCTTAGAGCCATTTGGTTTCCAATTGCGGATCGAGCAGAATCTTAATCTCTCTCCAAGAGGCCGGAACGATAAGGTCACTCCGAAAACACGTCTCTAATTTGGACATTTTCCTACAGAGAAGGCAGGAGGTTTCATACTTCGTGCCGATGGCCTCGTCTTGGGAGAGACTCACCAATTGTCCCCAGAAAATATGTATTATTCGCTAGTCATGGGTTTCCTTTTAATATTTCAAAACAGGAAACTATCTCAGAGGCCTTAGTAGGAAGTCTACTGGTGTAGGGTCTCCCGCTTGGGCAGGGGAGTTGGACTAGAAGGCCTCCAAGTCTTCTGTTATTCTGTTATTTCAGGGCCTATTTGTGGAGAGAGGTAAGAAAAGCCCTCTCATTAGTCCGGCTGACCCCAATCATGTCATTATTCTAATTAAGGGAGGCAGAAAGCAATGCCTGAGATGAAAGCTATCATCAATGAATAAAGAAGCATCAGTAACTAAAGATTGTCGCCTGTGGAAGAATAGTTCTGAAATGCAATTCTGCTTCACTTTGGAGACACGTTTGGATAGGATTAGTATTATCCGGAACTCCGGGATGAGATTTCATCCAATCTTCTCTTTGTTTATTTGTTTGTATCCTGTCATTATTATTTTTACAAACAACTCAAGGTAGAGAACATACCCAACATACCTTCCTCCTTCTGTTTTCCCCACAACAACAACCCTGTGAGGTGGGTTGGGCTGACAGAGGTAGTGGCCCTCCCAGCTGCCTTTTATGCTTAAGGTGGGACTAGATCTCATCATCTCCTGGTCCAAAGCCAGCTTTCATGCCTAAGGCAGAACTAGAACTCATTGTCTCCTAGTGGTTGGTCCAAAGTCACCCAGCCGGCTTTCAGGAGTAAGGCAGAACTAGAACTCACTGTCTCCTAGTGATTGGCCCAAATTCCTCCAGCCAGCTTTCATGCGTAAACTGGACTAGAATTCATTGTCTCTTGCTTTCTAGCCTGGTGCCTTAACGTGAGACGAAATGGATTCATTTCACTTACTTTCTTGATTTTTCTGGGCTCCTTACAGAACCAGTCAATTCTCTTGAACCATTTCATTCTTCCCAGGTCATTGCTGAAGGACAAGATTGGGCAAAAAGTTATTTCACAATTGGATGTCCCTGATTTCTGCACTATCTGAATATTGATAAGACAAGCATTCCTACGGAAGGCAAAATGCATACCGCAGCCAGAGCAGGAGCTCAAATAGTGTCATAGTGTCCTCATTATCTCTGCATGGACCTTGGGAAGGACATGCGTCAGTCAAACCCACAACAAGACCAAAGGATCTCCTGCACCACATATGTGCACGTTCTAAAAGATGCCCACATGGTAATATCACAGCTATTTCCTTCGCTGCCAGAATCCAAGTTGGGGTAAGACTTCTATGAGTTATCAGTGGGGAATCACCTTCCTTCCTTCCTTCCTTCCTTCCTTCCTTCCTTCCTTCCTTCCTTCCTTCCTTCCTTCCTCCCTCCCTCCCTCCCTCCTTCCTTCCTTCCTTCCTTCCTTCCTTCGTTCTTTGAATACCTATAGCTAGATGACAACCTTCTGTTCTCTCTTTCTGGGTTCTTCAATAAATATAGCTAGATTCCTCCCTCCCTCCCTGCCTCCCTCCCTTCCTTCCTTCCTTCCTTCCTTCCTTCCTTCCTTCCTTCCTTCCTTCTTTTTTTCTTTGAATACCTATAGCTAGATGACAACCTTCTGTTCTCTCTTTCTAGGTTCTTCAATAAATATAGCTAGATTCCTCCCTTCCTCCCTCCCTCCCTCCCCCCCAGGAGATGTCGTTCCTTGTTCAAAGCATTGAGTACTAATCTCTCCTTTCCAGACCATCTAGCTTTAGTGGGCCTTGATGCTGGGCTAAGCACAAAAGTTGGCCTGCCACCCATTTTCATTCTCTTTCTGTGTTATTAGATGTGGGAATCTCTAGAGTTCTCCCCATCCTATCCTCCTTGGGTATAAATAGACGGGGGAGGGCGGGGGGACAAAACCCATTTCATTAGTTAAACGCGACACCTGAGCCCAGTCTCACATGGAGCACCTAATCCTCAAAAAGGTAACCCAAGTAGCTCTTGTCATTCACTGAATCTCATATAAATTCGATAGAGAACTCTTTGCCAAAGGTGCCGCCTGGCTAGACATTATTTGCGCTTTGGGGCTCCATCATCCCTGCTCTGCTAATCCGTACAAAGGAAAGTA